TATTCAGTCTGGGAAAGGAGCGTGATCTCTGGTGCTACATTAAATACCTGAGTCAGTATATGTAAAGTGTAGGTATCAGTCAACCGTTTGTTAACTTGATATTTTTTTGAAAATAATGTTAGAATACGACAGCTTTTAGTCATGCCAGTTGTTAACGGTAATGTAGAGTAAGTTCTCCTTCATCATAGGTATGACAAAAAAAAACCTCTTTTTGTGGCTTTATCAGGATGCCAAGAACAGGCACAATGCCAAATAGCTCATTAGGTGGACTCTGACGTCAAGTACATGCAAGGGATCACTTTTTGACCATGCTTTTCCATAAGAGCCTCCAAAGAGAGGTACATGTTGCCTCCTCCTGTACAGGTGCTATGAGGCATATGTATACTTGGGACCACTTGGTGAATCAAAATGTGTGACTAAATCAGCAACAGCCTACACAGCATCAGGATTTATCATGTCTTTTACATTTTATTTCTACTAAGTGGGCTGGTAAGCACTGTCAGCTCCATTGATGAAAGTAAACAGCTGCAACATCATGAAAACAAATTGCTCAATAGTAGATTTTGAAGCCTCTTTACATACACTTATCTTCTGCATGCAAACCTTGAGCCTGTTTGCTGGAGCCTTCTTAAAGTTCATACTGAGTTCAGCAACGTGGGGTTAGGTTGCTGTAAGGGATTTAGGTGCCCAAACTGCAGAATAGCAGTCCTGTCTCAGGCTTCCTGTGGAGTGCACAGAGGACAGAGTCTGACACACAGTGCAATCTTATTGCCCCCTGGAAATGTCCTTCAGGGCTGATGCAAAGCAGTTGGCCCTCTGATTTCAGAATCATAGAATAATCAGAGTTAAAAGGGACTCTGTCAGACTTGGTACTGTGACAACTTCCCTGGGGGAGCCTATTCCAGTGCTCAGTTATCCTCTGGGTGAAGAACCATCTTCTAATATCCAGCCTAAACCTCCCCTGAGGCAACTTCAGGCCATTCCCTCGGTCCTGTCACTGGTTGCCAGAGAGAAGAGGGCCGTGCCTGCCCTCTGCTTCCTTTCTTTCAGTGCTAAATAGATTTCTCTTGTAAAAAGTAAAATAATAATGAACACTACAGGTGCTATCTTCCTCCTCCTGCTTGGAGGTTAAATTAGCTAAAAACCTGCACAGAAAGTACAAGATCCAGGTTTCATTCCAGAGACAGTGACGTTACCCAGTAGCTTCCCACCAGGTGTGGAGCTCTGTCCCTCTCCTCACTCCAACACCTGTTCCCATGTGACAGCAGTTCCATGTGTGTACAGAAATGACCTGCATCTTTGTTGATCCAATGTCGTGGTTTAGGAATGATATTCCCCGATTTAGTGTTCCCACTGGAATCCCCCAGGCCCATCGCTGCTCCCCCACCCCCTCCCCCTGCAGCAGGATGGAGGGAATTGGAGGCACAAAAGGTAGAGATCACAGGTTGAGATAAGAACAATTTCCTCAGCAACAGCAATGAAGTACGAAAACGTAAAGTAACAAGTGTATTAATAACAGAGGGTACAAGACAGGCGAAGGACTCGCAGGCGATGGCTCAGCACGCGGCCCCAGCGCTGTCTGTGCGCACACACCGCGCCCCACTGATCGGGGCTGGGACACAGGGGACCCCCGGCCCCTCCGCAGGACCTGAGGTGGTACAGAATAACCCCAGGGTCCTGTGTGCCCTTCCCGGCTGCTGCAAAAGTTAATCCTGTCCTGGCCAAAACCAGGACAGCCAGGAATACAGAGTGGCTGCATATCATTCGTGTATTTAGCACCTCAACCCTAGCCTAGGCAGTGCTTTTTCTTCTTTTTCTGAACTGCTGCAGTACCTATTTCCCCGGAGAAACTTGCTGGGTTAAATCCTTCAAGGAACTGAAAATCCATTAGGCTGAGACATAAACAAAACACTATAAGCTGCCCTGATCCTAGTAGGTGTGCACAGCATCCTTCACCAGTTAGTCATCTGTTGAATAGGACTGTAGTGATGGCAACTTTGAATATGAATAGGGCTGTAGTGATGGCAACTTTGAATATAAGCAATTACATTTTGGTGAAAGAATATTGCTAGCAATTAGAAAGAGTGGTTATCAATGAAATGACTGAAAAATAATCGTGGCTTTGAAGGGGGTGTTTGTCCTTTACCAAGTACAAACATGCACCAAGTACAAAGATACATCTTGTCTCAGCATGGCATTGGCATTATTTTAGTCTTGCCCTGTTGAAACACAGGACTTGAGTTTAGATTTGTGTTACAAGTTCAGGAAACTTCAGGAATGGACTTCAACTGATATCTTATGAAGGATGAAGGATGTTCTTTTACGTTTCACTGTGTTAGGCCAAGCTAAACGCTCATAACATCACTGTCTGACCTTAAAATCTCTGAAGCAGCTGTTCCCTACCCTCAATGCTAGTATTTGACTCAGCAGTTCGGTTTTGGTCCCAGACTTCTACAAGCATCATTTCCTGTAAGCTTCTTGGCTCCGTTTTTGGAGAAGGGTGGAGAGCTTTTGGCTTCTTTGCCATTGTTTGGGCATGTTCAACTTGATAAAGATCATTTCTGCTGGGCAAGCTATCAATAGCTCACGTGTTAAAGCTTGAGAATATTGGGCAATTTCTTCCAGTTTCTCTGAGATTCAGTCAGTTAAAAGACTATGCATAAAAACCTCAATTGCACACACAAAGGAGAAGGTTTCTTTGATGAAAGCCAGGAATTTAGATCAAAACACGTTTTATTTTCCTAAAGTTGACAGTGAAAGGATAGAAAAAAAGCTGGTTTATTAGCACCAGAAATCCATTTCTTGATCTTGAAAGACTGAGTTTTTGCAAGGGAGGGGAGCTGTGCTGTAATGCCAAGATCAGAGAATTAATGTATGTTTTTTCCTTTTGTGTGGAATTACTTAATAGGAAGAGAAAAGCATTAACAAATTCATATAAAAGACACTTGGTACAGTATATATACAGTCAAATGTAACCACTCCAGATCTTAATCTAAATCCTGTGACTTCTACCTATACAAGTGGTCCATTTATCTCAGCCATATAATTCTTACTGTAAGCAAACTTTAGCCCCTACTCACTAATACAAATGTTCTATTTCTGGCAACAGTAGGGCAGTAGTGGACCCCAAAATGGGAAAGCAGAGTACAAATGCACTATTAATGAGACATTTACCTTGATGTTTGTGACCTTTTGCATGCTTGTAGGATTAGTAAACACAGAGGCTATTTGAATTCGAGGTAGTCTAGAGGGGATCCATTACTTAATCTGTTTTCTAAAGCAAGTCTATTTTGGGCACTGAGTTTTAATTCACCTATAGTGGTGGTAAGCATAAGCTATCTTTTATTAGGCTTCTTTATGACACCCGCTGTGAAAGATTTTCAGACAGGCCAGAGCAGGGATGGTCCCTTTTGCTGGTGGATGATTACAACACCTGTCAGACCCCAGCCTTAAGTATTCAAGGAAGTTCTAGAGATAGGGTCCGATTTCTTTAACAGTGCTTCCAAATATACATTTAAGAGGCCTCCTCCTGTCTTGAAATTCAAGAGCCTAAATAGCCAGTGGAAAAAAGCAAAGTCTTTGTAACCTCAGACTTTATGCTTGCCTGGTTTATTTTTATTTTGTAAATGATTCTGTGTTGATTTTTTTTTCCAAGCCTGTAACTTCTCTGACATATATAATTGATGACAGCTATGCTGCTGCAGCTTGGTAGTAATTTTTCAAGGAAGAGTTAAAAGCATATATGATGTAAGGAAGTCCTGTTCCAACTTCAGCTTTGGCCAACAGATGGTGAAACAAACATGATCAGCAGAGGAGCAAGATGATAGCAGCAGGGACACTATGAATAATAGTAAGAAAACACAAATATTAAGTCCATTTCTCTGAGAGGACCTAATTCAGCAAAATATTCAAGCATGAGCATAATGACTTGCAACATACTTGCTGGGTTAGCATTAAACAGACATTATCTGGTTTATGTGCTTCACATCAAAGGCATCCATTGACAGAAAACATTGTCATTAATTTTCCTGTAATTCTGAGAAAGCTGTTGCATAAAATGATTATTGTGACTGTTAACCAAAAGCAGTTAGGCACCTGTCTGCCTGCCTACACTGTCTCAAGAATACCAGAGCACAGTCCATGCCAGCTAGCTTCTCCATAGCCCAGAGCTTAGATTAGAAGGTCTTACAGCCAGGTAACCTAAATACGTAGAATTGGTCAGAATCAACTGTGTCCTAATGAATTTCTGAGTCCAGAAAGGAGTCTTGGCTCTGTTAAATTTATGTGTATTTTTGCCATGGCCTTATTCTCAGTGAGGATTTAGCCCCTATACACACAGGCTCGTGTGTGCATATATCCATATACACAAATATATGAATAATACATTTTTGCAATGGTATTGAGAAGACCTTTTTAAAACAGATGTCTGATTATATAAATATAAATTATAAATATAGTCAGACATCTGTTTAAAAATATATAAATACATTCAGCCATCTGTTTTAAGAATGTCTTTCCAATATTTTTGCAAGCATAACTAAGCGACAGAAACAATTCAGGGCGGGATGCAGTCATGACATGGATCAGGGATGAGGAGGGGCTGTCCAGACATTCAGCTGTTCCACTTGCCTGTGACCTTATGAAGTGAGTGGTGGCCCAGAAGTCGCTTCTCCAACCCCTTCAGGGTAATATGACAGAGTGTCTCATCCAACAAGCCCAGGCTGCCAAAATAAGATCCTGACATAGACAGCACCTTCTGTGAGGACATTACAAATAGCAGAAAACATCTCTGGTACATTAAGTGAATTTGGATTGTGCTTTATATGGAGGAAGTACTGCAAAGAGATGTTAAGTTCAGCAAGGTAATGCAGTAAGTCTGTGAGACAGAAGCTCAGGGTGTATCTGTTGATGCTGAGCTCTGTGTTGTAGCCACATGTATGCCTTATGAGGTCTTATATCAGCAAGTAGTGGCTCTGCTAATGGTTTCCCTGCTTCTTTGCAGATGTATTGTGAGAGGTTTATATGTATCCTGAGAATACTTGGAACCACACTCTTCGGGGTGTCCCTCCTGCTGGGAATCACCGCTGCTTACATTGTGGGCTACCAGTTCATCCAAACAGACAACTACTACTTCTCCTTTGGACTCTATGGTGCTATCCTGGCATCACATCTCATCATCCAAAGCCTTTTTGCCTACCTGGAGCACAGGAAAATGAAACGGTCGCTAGAGACTCCAATCAAGTTGAACAAAACAGTTGCCCTTTGTATTGCTGCCTATCAAGAGGATCCTGACTACTTAAGAAAATGTTTACTTTCTGTGAAAAGATTGACCTACCCTGGAATTAAAGTTGTTATGGTCATTGATGGGAACTCGGAAGATGACGTTTACATGATGGACATTTTCACTGAAATCATGGGTAGGGACACATGTGCCACTTATGTCTGGAGTAACAACTTCCACAACAGAGGTCCGGGTGAGACAGAGGAGTCTCACAGAGAGAGCATGCAACACGTATCTCAGCTGGTCCTGTCCAACAAAAGTGTTTGCATCATGCAGAAATGGGGTGGAAAAAGAGAAGTAATGTACACAGCATTCAAAGCACTGGGGAGAAGCGTGGATTATGTACAGGTAGGTATTAGAGTGCCAGGTCAGTGCCAATTCAAACACACTTTGAAAGAAAGCAGCTTTTGTATATTTTGTGCAGCATGTTAGAGGCCATCCTAGTCCCTGATGAACACAGTGCTCCTTTCAGTCTGTTTGGAAACAGCTTGACCATTAAAAGGGAATTTTGCTACCTTTTAAAATGGTCAGTCTATCTGTGACTATGCTAAATCTGTGCACCAGCTACAGGGGAAATCTGAAATCCTTCCCTAGCCTGCAGCACTGCCCCCTCATCCAAATGGTTTAGCTTCAGACAAAGCCAGTGGCCTCCTGAAACCCCATCTCTGCTCCTGTAGGTCAAGATCTTGGGTAAGGCTTTATTTTGTGAGGTTTTTAGCCACCCCATATGCTAGCAGACAGGCATTGGTGGCACAATATCTTGGAGCGCTGTTGGAGTCTGTAAAAACAATGAGGATATTTTAAAGGCTTCGAAGGCTGTGTGTAGTATTCAATAAAAGGCTCAATGTGCAGGTTTGAAAGTCAGATTTCTTCAGCTAAAGCCTGAAGGAGCTTTTGCTTCATCACTTACAGCTGCATTACTTCACTCACCGCGACTTGGCCTTTAAAGCCCTTATGACACTATTCACTTAAAAATGAATTAGGCTGGGTCCTCTCTCCCTGTTTCCAACGCAGCAGAGGCACATTTCTTTCCAGCTGCCTTGGATCCTCTGAAAGATTGTCTATGTTTTTGCCTTACTTGCATGGAAGCGCTTCTCGCTCCTGCAAACAGCCCCGCTGACTGTGGGAAGGGCAAGAGGTCATATGTGGGGAGGAAGGTAGGTGGGATCAGGATCTGTGGCTGGACACTGAGGACCCTTCCTTATCAATCAAGTGCAACAAGGCTCATTTGACTAATTTCACTGATTCTGAGATAATCTTCCTCCTGAACCACCCTCAGTTGTTTCCACCTTCTCCCAAACTCAGAGCATGCTGCAGTCTCCTCGGGTGGAGCAGCAGCTCCCTACGAGATGCTCTCTGCTGGCTCAGGGCAGCTGCATGGCTGAGCCATATGTGTTTCTGGGGTCTGTGCCCAGCCTTGTGTGGGTGTGTGTATGCACGCTCCGCACAGCACAGCATCCACGTGCAGTGTCCAAGGGATGTGGAGAGGCTGCCAGTAGCTGGGCCGAAAGCAGTGCGTCTTCCATGCACAGGAGTGCCAGGAACCACTTTGTTATTGGAGCTGGGAGGATAAGGATTTAAAACCCATTCCCTACCACTTCCCAAGCTGAAACTGATTTATTCTCTGGAAACAATGGGCTTAAGCTCTCCATTTTCTGCCCTTTGGTTCTGTGCTGTGAGGAACTACGATGGGATACAAATGCTGATACTCTGTATTAACATGGACATCTCATAGAAGTATCAGATTGCAGAAAGAAAACATTCATTACAAGTTTCCTACCTCGGTACAGCTCTTGCATTTTTCGGGGAACCTGGAAAAAGTGTTTCTATTTCAATGGTCATAGCATTAACTGAGAAAATGGAAGAGATACTTCTGGTCAGTTAACACTCCTGACCTGGCTCAGAAGTCCTAATGAAATTGTCAGGCACTGTAATGTTTATGTGAGCAAAGTCTGCAGTAATGACTGATGCCACAGACACATCTACAGTCACATCTGTAATGGAAATGCAGCACCCTGGCTACTACACAGTCATGAAGCAATGCAACTAAAATGTGGCTCTGTTTTATGAATGAATGAATGTTGAGATATTTTATATGGTTCTTTCAGGAAACCCAGGGTAAATTACATTAAGCAGGCCCAACATTTTAAGGGCTAAGTAATCTCCATCAATGATCAAACACTTGTCAGGACTAGTCAGCACCACTGCCTGCCCAAGAAATTGTAGGCCTTACAGTTCTTAAAAGACACCTTAGGGTTATGGACAGGCAATCATAAGCTGTCAGACCAGTGCAGATAACAAGCTCATTAGCAGTGTCTCATTAAATAGCTGAAACTGCTGTGAAGGGTTATTTCCATCCTAGAAGTGGTTAGGAGTGTGCGAGTAATCAAATGGAGGAGTTAAACTGGCAGGTATTATCAGTGTAGAGCTGGTCAAGGCAGCCAGGGTGCAATTCATTGTGGCTTGATGGAAGTACCTGTGTCGACAGTCCAGTGCAGTCTGAACTTCTCAGAGCAGCTTGGATAAGCTGTCACTGGCTATATCAAGTATCTGAACAGCTCACTTAAGGTCAACTGTGACCCAAGGCAGTAATTTTTAGGTCACTCAGCCCTTACGTGGAAAGATGGCACATTGCCTCTGGAATCTGTCCTGGGCCACCCCTGTCTGGGCAAGTCTTGGTGTTTTATTTGGGTTCCTATGTGTCTGTCTTTCTCTGGGCATGTCCTCTTTTCACCTGCAAAAACCTCATCCAGGTGGAAAAAGATGGTTTGTTAGGTTTGTCCCAGAGACCCAGACATGTCCACTGTGCTGGCATGCCCAGGTCATGTGATGGTAACTTGTGACAAATACAGTGTTACCATGATTCATCATCTCATATTAGTGATGTTGCTCATGGGCAGGCCCTTCTGCTATGGATAAATGCATGTGATGGGGTGGTGGCTGCTGAAGTGACAGGTACTGGAGGGAAAGCAGCCCACCATACACGGCCACAAGAAATGGGATGCCTATCGCTGCCCGAGCACTCTGGGAATTCAGTAAACTATAGATTTTCTGTGAAAAATACTCAATAACAGGTCTGTCCAGGAAGTCACAAGTAAAAATATAGGAATCCTTTCCCCTCTGTAGCAGAATTGTTTTGCTCCCTTTCTATCTCTGACTGCTGCCACTGATGACAGCTTGCCACTAAAGCTGGGGGCACACCTTGGCCAGGTTACAAAGGTGGTCCTTGGAACGAGTCCTTTGAGGAGAGGAGATGGATGCATTGTTAGTGGGAGCTGGAGATGCTTGTGGCTTTTCTCCTAACAGAAATTTGAGAGCTTTCATCACCTTTCTCCTCCTGGCCCTCTCTGAGGGAGCATGGAGGGGAGCATGTTGGCAGACACCCAGCTGCATCCCAAGCTGTGCAGCCCATTTATCCCGGGTAACCTCTCCTGTTAAGTCTAGTCCATAGCAGAGTCCCAAAATACTCTCATCCTCCTTCAAAGGCCAGACATTTACATTACCACTCCCCTGGAGTGTGAGGGTTTAGGTTGAATTGAAGGGTTGCATGAAAGGACACCAAAATTAGGATACCCAATACAATGCCTCAGCAGAATCTGTCTTAATATGCTGTTCATGCAGAGCTACTGACTTTTGCTCTACCAGCTCCACCTGAAGTCACAGGAATGCACTGTGGGGACAAACTGGAAGCAGTATGAGAATTTGTAGGGCAGGATTCAACTGGTAAAATGGGTGTTTCTGGGATAGTCTCTGCTCTAGTCCCTGGATGTCTGCGAAATGAGTTCACACATGATGTGGGCACTGTTCTCAGCAGCTAAAACAGCAAGGAGGAGACACCCACTTGTTTTAAACAGGCTGCAGTCCATGTCACTCTCCTCAGAGCAAATGAAAGCAATGCCAGCTGCCTCACAGACCAGCCAGCCTTTCTGAGCCCTCCTCCTTCTCTCCAGGGAAAAGCCAATTTCCTAATGTACACAGTGTTTAGTTGACTAGGAGTGTTTGTGTAGCTGAAATGCCTTGTGTGTGTCATCTATTTCTGCCCTGGTCTTATGGAGCACTGCATGTTGGGACTCACTACTTCAGCCCTTACGTATTTTTTATAAGAATACCGGAGAAAAATAGCAAATAATTTCTATATATCAGGTGTCAAATCCCCACACTGACACACCATGCAGCTAAAATTAAAAATTAGTTTGTTCTGGAATCTAATATACATATCTTTCATGAATTGCTAAAGCAATTCTGACTCATTCTGTGAGTGAAAGAACTATTAGGTTTCTTCCCAGACTCCTTCTTGACTTTTTTCTTTTTTATAAGAAATGCCTGGGAGTTAACTCGTCACTCCTTGCCTCATACGGTAGTGGGAAACATTTGACCAGGGTTCTCCAAATGTGCAGCT